ACCAATAGATTCATCTTTCGATGATTTTATCATATGATGACGTTCATCATTATCGTCCTCACGTATTATTTGTTGTTCTAATTGTTCAGAAGCAATACGTTCAGCTTCTTCTTTTCGATAACGTTCAATACGTTGAAATGATTCGTGCGTAAATTCACGAAAGACAATCGAGTTATAGCTCATATTGATTATCAATACTTATACCTGTTCATACATACATATTTTATTGAACGATAATAAATAATAAAAAATAAATAAAATATTATTATTCTTCGGCTTCGACATGAACAATTCATATAGCTCTCAAATAAAATCATAATTTACTTACAAGGTTTTCTTTTCCCTTCGTCGAAACCTATTTATCCAAATCTATACCTTAAAATATAAATTTCTTCTTTTATAAGTCAATTCAATATGCTCGAATGTATCACACACGTCGAACTTGAAAGTTAAATTTAATTACTCGACAATTACTAAAAAAATTGCCCGCGTAACTAACCTTTTACATCTGCACCGTGACTTGAAGTCGCTGCACACACCTCAAAGAGTCGCAACGCATACTTGTTTTTGTGTACACCCTAAATTCTATTCTTTTTTATGTTTTGACACTACTAAAAATGATGTACAGATTCAGACGTATGGAAGGGAGTATAGAAAAGGATCTACAAAAGGATATATATAATAGAACGTATAGAAAGAAGTATAGAATAGGACGTACAAAAGGATGTATATAATAGAATGTATTGAAAGGGCATGTATAAGAAACATCAGGAGGAGCTATAGAAAAGACATAAATCTAAGCGATCCAGAAAAAGTTGGATATTTGTTTTATTGTTTCCGACTGAAATGATAAACCGGATGGGCTCTAACAATTATATATATACATATATAAGCAATATTCTAATTTTTTTTATGATGCTTAGCTTGATCAAATAATCTGTTTAAAAACATATTATAACAGTATCATTTTAATCATTTTTTAATCAGAAAAAAAATACGATGGAAGTCAGAGTTTTTTCTGTCGTTATTTTACTTAGGCTACGAATTTCGGTTCATAGATTGATAATAAACTAAAGACAGACTCTTGAATAAAACACAAGATTCTCAAAAGACGTCGCTTAGAATGACTGTAAAATGTCTTTCTTTGGAAAACCTCATTTGACTCTTTTATTCATTCAAACATTTATGTAATGAAGAGCGAGTAAATATACAAACAAGAACAAAGAAAAAAGACAAAACTCGAGCGATAATAATTTATCGACTAAATGAAATGTTGACATGTAGGCATAAGACTTACAATTTCGATTGACTTAAGCATATCACTAGTTTAGTTCGTCTACAGAAATTCATTGGTCTTGTGTCAACATGTAGGCTTTTTATCGACATATTGTTACTATCAATCTATATGTCTATTCATGTTGAAAAACTTTGTTTTTATTCAACTAAATGTTTTTGTCTTGTTCTTCTCAATCACAAACAAAGAATGGCAACGATGATGAATAACTTTGGCCAGAATAGCAAGCCAAACTATCTTTGTGAGCTACGTTTGGTTGTTGAACGACTCATGAGCTGGATCGAAGTTTTTTAAGCACACGAGATTTATCGCGAAAAACAATTGCCTTATAAATCATCGAACATAGGTAATAGTTAGTCAATTGATTCAATTGAATGAAAAAAACAAAGAATTAGTTTCCTATATCTGTTTATGCCTAGAGAGCATGTCTATCCATTTATCTTAAGTAATCGATTTGTCTGAAAGTATAAAAGAAAATAAACATTATTCATGCCATAACATTTCCCTTTTTCCTTCTGTGCGTATATGTATTATTATTGGATACACTATGTCAAGATAATCGATAGACCGAAATTGATGTCTTTCTTACAGTGTCTATTGTTCTATGCTCGTTCGTCAATTTAAGAGATGATCAGGTAGTCTGATTTTTCAAGTCTCAAATTTCATCAAATAAAAATGAAATTGAAATCAGTAAATAATAACAGATTAAATGTTAAACAGATGCTTTCGACCTAATTCTTTCGTTTTTTTTTCATTATAAATACAGAGTATAACATGATTATAGACCTTCTTTACATATACAGACAAAAATGTTTATTTTATTAAAGGAAGTATCATTTGTTTATTTTTCTGTCCGATATTGTTTTAATTTTATTAGTATCTAATTTGTTAACCTTTAATGAAACAAAAAAAAAAAATATCCAATGTCAAAAAAAAAAGAACATGTTTATTTTATTTCCATTACGAATGATATTGATCTGTTAAATGGTATGCGTACATAACAATACCCAAGCAATAACTATTAATTATAGGTCCCCTTACGAAAAATTGTTTCAAACCCTGAAGATGTAATGTAATCTCTTGATATTGACCTTTTTTGTGAATTAAATTCGATTTTAAAACTAATTTTTTCATGAGGTGAGTTCATTCAAAATCGATGATGGTAGATCGCATGTTGAAAAAGATTAATTCGATAATACCAGTAAATTATTTTTTTTTGTTAGGGTCTTTTTTCAATATTGTATGTTGACATCCAAAAATGTGCGATCACAAGAATGTGGGTGTTCGTTCAAGGCAACCATGACGCGTTTCGACCTTGTTGAAGAATCTCATCAGACAGTTTTTTAACTTTATAACTATTCGTATGATCCGAAGATCACAAATAAGTTATATCATTCATTTACAAGTCTATGAAAAATTCATACTAGACGTACATGATAGAAACTTCTCTTTGCCGAAACTCAAATACTGACATGAATATATCTATAATTGGTCTATCTTAGTTTAAAATAAGATTTCCGAAAACTACGTCGAACGCTGGGAATGCTGACCGCCAAAAATTTATTTGTAAATTGATAATTTTTCGAAAATCCTCTCTAATTCCATCAAGCTAAAACTTTCGTCAATTCATTTTTTGTATGTGATTTAGCGTTGGTCATAGCGCCGGCTGAGTATCAGTGGTTAGAAGGAAAGCTACGAATGTTCCAGAAAAACCTGTTGTGTGCCTCGGAACCGTTGATTTTGCAATTACAACGACATTTTAGTGCAATACTAAGGTGATATTCGACATCAGCTCATCGAGCTGCTCTTTTCTAAACGAATTAAAAATGTCAAAATAATTACTTTAATTAATTCAACTGGATGAACTAAGTTTTTCAAAGATTAATAAAAATAAAAAATTCTATCTTATTAACATCATTATTATTCAAATAGGTTTCGTGAATAGTGAAGTTTATAATTATGACTATTTAGAATGTGAAGGAATTTTTTCAGTATCAATTCAGTTATCGTTTGATTTAAGTGGTGTGACTATGGTTTAGACAAAAGTCTTTATTAAAACGTTGTAAAAGAAGTTCTAAGTTTATATTAGATAGTTGTTCATTTCCATCTGTATTAAGTGTTTCGACAATTTCCTCAAATTTCTTTAAAACTTTCATAATTTTGATTAAACTGTTTTCTTTCGACTAAAACGAAACATATAATTAAAAAAAGACTTCTGAAAAATTGAACAATATCTTTTATATAGTCGCTAAAATAGAATGATATAGAATGATTAATAATTTGGTATTTCATTCTTTTGAACGAGAAGACCCATTGTTTAAAATGTGTTACGTGGAAAGATAGTGGAACTTTATTAAACTATTGTTAAAATGCGGCTTCCTTTTGAAAAAGATGAAATACGAAGTAGAGTGTATGATAGTTTTGAGCGCTGTTGTATATACAAATTTTAAATAGAGTGTTCCTGATTCTTTTTTATATCAATGCTCAAAATCTTAAAAAATTTGTTCACTTTGATTAAACAAGGACTTTTCATTTCTATTAATCCCCATGTACAAATTCAAAAGAACTCTCAAGATAGTGATTATGATGAAGAGACAAAAAAAGGTAAGACTATTCAGCAACCATGTATGCACACTTATTTAAGACTCGACTGAAATTTTCAGCTTTTTTCTCTTAATCTCAGCATATTTTGGTCGAACTCTAGCTCAATTAGATGGCAAAAGACTTATGTTGTTGGCTTGTCATGTCATCAAACCATGTTTTCAGATTTATGATGCTCGTGCATAATCATTATAGCCAGGCTTTCATCTCTATACAAAAAGCTTCATCAAGACAAGAAATAAAGTATGTTTTCCAATCCAATCGGTCTTCTTCTTCATTGAACTAGTCTGCACAGTTTTCTCTCTCGAATCATAGTAAAATAAAAACACGCATTGATGATAAACAATAATTCATGTTCTTCCTTCTGCTACCTTCCTTCCATAGAGTTATAAGTACATATATACATATTTCACGAATATTGATTGTATATTATTTTTCATTAATTAAAATATTCTTATTAAAGATTATCGCATTGATTATGACTAATTACTGAGATGTAATGGCGTATCATCACTTTACAAAAAAAATTTAAACAATACGTAAAATCAGATAATAAGAAACATTTTTTGGACTAATTGTAATGAAAGAAGAAGCTTATTTAAATAATAAGTGAACTATTGATAAGTGATTCTGCTATACTGAACAAAAAAGAAGGATGCAACTGTGTCCCACATCGGAATACAGAAATTCTACAAGAAAAACATAGAATTTTTTATAAATACTTTTTATCAAAAACTTCATATGTACGATAACAAACTGATGTCATTATAATTGTCTCATTATTTGAAAAAAATCCATGAAAATAAAGAATAAATGAATGATTGAAGTTTGGATGGATAATAAAAAAGGACAGAATCCTAAATTATACGAACATTCTATGAGTATTGTATGTTTCTTATGAGATTGAAAATTTGTTCATTTTCGTACATAAGCAAACAAGACATAAAATAAAATAATAGAAAAGAGACAGTCGTATTCTAACGTCATGTTTAAACTATAAAACTAGAGCAAAATCAGTGTTTATATATGTTTTACAAAAGAGGTTATATGATTATTAAAAAAAACAATAATTTCTTATCACAATGTTGTTCATCATCATGATGTGAAAGATTTTAAAAGTCATTATTCAGTTCTTTTCTATAGGATTTTCAATCAATTTTTGTTCATGTTGAAAATATGATTTGAGAATAAGTTCATTATCTGTACAGTTGATATCAATATGTATGATAACTAGATAAAATACAACCAACTAACTAAAGGATAGGGGGCGCATAAGAAGCCAAATCGG